TGACTGCCTTGTTTGGCCTCTGTCCCTAAATGCTGGGAGATGCACAAGAAGCTGCACAGGCAGCCCTAATGGGGGGGGCAGCAGCCCTAATGGGGGGGCAGCAGCCCAGGATGCCCCAGGTAGCACCGGCGTTACCAACCGGAGACCGTGGGACTGAAGCTGACCCCAGGCCCCAGGAAGGGGAGGCCCACCGCTGACCGCTGACCGAGGGGGACCTGCAGGACGCAGTATCAGCCTCTTAGCCTGACGTCACCGGTGTCACAGTGAGAAAGACCTTCCGGGGACCAACCTGAGGCCCACGCCCCACGCAGTAACCACCTGAGGGGTCGTTCATTTTCCTGACAGAATCCCTCACGCCCTCGACAGCTTTTCTTCCTCTCGGCCAGTGTTTTTCTGCGAGTTCAAGCTTAATCATTCCGAGACTTCCTTCCTGCCAGACGCTGCCCGGCGAAAGAGGCCTAGACGGAGGGAGAAGGCGGGCGCAGCCTGGAGTTACGGTCATCCCTCAAAGGCGCAGGAGGAACTGTCAGAGCTGGTGAAGACGGAGACCTCTGGACGGGGGCTCCGGCACCTCCCGCCCCAGCACCCTGGGAGTTCAGGGGGGCTCTCGGGCGGGCTGCCCACACGTTCGTGTGTGCCCTCCTCACCTGGGACCTCGTCTCTGGGCACGGTCCCGCTGCGTAGGTCGGGGGTGCTGGGGGTCTTTGGGGGAGACGGAGGTTCTCTCCTCAGCAAGCTGTCCAGGGCCCTGCTGGCGGTTTACAGGCAGAGGTCCTAGAGCCGTCACGAAACCTGCTGGTTATCTCATTTCTTCATTCCGTGAGCCGTCCAATCTTCCATGTAAGTTCTTTAAGGAAACGCCTGAGCAACTGTCCCTACTGTGCAGGGTATAGAAGAGACGCAAGGCAGTCTGCCTGTCCTCCGACGAGGCCCGCAACGCTGAGCAGTCACGCAGGACAACGCAAGGCGGCGTGGGAGAAAGTGCAACCTCTTAGAAAGCTCGAGAAACGGACCGCTCTCCCCTCTCCGTCCAGGGCTGTGTCCCCAAAAGTCAAGAGCTCGTCTGTTCCTTTGAAGCCCGTCATTGTCTTCCGGTTCTAGTTGTTTCACGTTTTTCCTTTCCTTCTTTATGCAGACACACAAGTAGCAAGCAGTATCTGCATCATTTCTCACTGCCTGCCTCTGGGACTCCACAGCACCAGTCTTCGTCCCCCGTGACAACGAAACTGGCAACCAAGGAGTTTCAGAGACACGTGTCATTGGCCCTACAGTGAGCCGTGGTCCCTGGATCAGTGCTAAAAGTTCACCTTTGGGTGTGGGGCCATTCTGAGTAATCCGAAAAGCGATCAGGCCAGTTTGAACTTGAACAGGACATCTAAAGCATTAGGAGATCCTGGCCAGGCAGCTCAGCTGGTTAGAGCGACATCCTGACACACCAAGGTTCGCAGGTTCGACCCTCGGTGGGGGCTCTTGACGAAGCAACCAGCGAATACATTGAATAAGTGGAACGACACACTGATGTCTGCCTGTCTGTCTGTCCCTAAAATCAGTAAATAAAAACTAAGTAGGACTTGGACTAGCGTGTACCCGATTTTCTATTTCCATTTACTAGAAGAGGTTCTCCGGCTTGGAGCGGGGAGACCCCCGAGGCCACAGAGCGCATATGAGCCAGGGTGACTCCCAAACCTCTGGTCCTCCCACAGCGTCACCCCCCAATCTCAAGTCACGGACGGTCCCCACCGTTCCTGCTTTGAAGCCTCTGCCCCCCTGCCTCCGACGACTGCCCTCGGGCACCGTCCTGTCCTCCCTCCTCACCTGTGCCCCGAGTGCGCGCACACCCACCCTCCCCGCTCCGGGTTATCCGCACCCTGGCTCCCGCGGCCGCGTCACCGGTTTCCGTGCCCCTCCTCCCCGTTTCTACCGTCTGCTCGTAATCACCTGCCTCTCCGACCTTCTCGTCAGACGCCCTGACGTCAGGACAAGGGCTTCTGCATCTCTGTAAACGCGGTCCCCACTACAGACAGAGCTCCAGAAACACCGCCTGGTGGGTTTCCAAAGAGGAAACGGACACACCAAAGCTTCTAAGAAGCTGGGGCATGGTGGGGAGGTTCCCTCTGGGCAGGAGTAAGCTCGGTGCTTCCTTCCACCCGCAGCGCCAGCGGGTCCTGTCGCACGCGACCTAGGAAAATGGCAGCAGGCACACTGGCATCGGCACGGATGCCCACGGTGGGGGGCTCAGGCGGCTGTCCAGCCTCGTGCTGCACTTGATGTGCATGCGCCTGGCCGAGCAGAGACCAGCGGCGTCTAGCCGCTCCTCTGTCCTGCCTGGCCGGCATTTAAGTGACCAGTTCTTGCCAGAAGCGCTCACACCACGTGCGATGTTATTGGCCTCAGTCACTGTCCCCCTAAAGCCTATTAAGGTGATTTTAAAAGAAACAACCTGTTTTTCTCCTTTTGTCTCAAGGAGACCTTTTGTCTCCTTCTCAACGCTGAACGTGTTCCCTACCACCCAGCCGAGCCCCTGGGCACAGAGTAACTGGGCTCTGAGAACGGAAGGGGACGTTCAGCCGGAGAAATTCGGGGCGCCTGCTGGCTGGGAAAGCAGGGAACCGTGTCTGCAGGAAAGCCCTCGGGGACCCTGCCTGGGACTCGGGGCACATGTGCCACAGGCCCACCCCCGGGTGTGTGACAGGCACATGCCATCCACGCAGAATCGGCAGGAAGGGGGGGGCAGGGGGGGCTGTTCCAATGCGTCAGGTGGTGGGTGGTCCTGAGAAGTCGGTCCAGGCGCGAGCCAAACAATTTAAGTCACACCCCAGCAAAGCGCTGACGTGACATTCTGTCTCGCAGAAGAAATACATTAGCATCAGCCATGTGTCGCCCTTTTGTTAACAAAACAAGGACCTGCAAACACAGCTGTGTGGGGCATTTACGACACCGTTTCTCGTACTCGGTTCACAGCAAGGGGAAACCCATCGTTTCCGGTCACTGGAATGATCTCTGCATCTCCGCCACCCTTCCCAACCGGTCTCCAAGCGAATCGGGACCACGTGCCAATCCACGTGGATGAGGCAGCGAGGGTGACAGTCTCTCACGAGACCCAGAGTTGCAGACGCAACCGACAGGCAAAGCACCTGCAGCTGGTTATGTCCCCGCCGCAGACTCGGAGGGGCAGCGCCCACAGAGGTGACGTCATTGTCATCAGTAGGGAACAACCCCACGCTGACATTGCGCACGACCCCCCCACACACGTCGTGACAGCTCTCGCAGTGTCTCAGAGACGCCGACTATTGTCACGGCCCCGTGAAGTTTCACACCGTCCCACGGCAGCCCCATGAGCGTGCCCCTTCCCCCGTTCCCTGGCACCCCGTGTGGGGTGCACAGTCACTTCTAACGTGTGGGCCTGACAGCCAAGAAAGAGAAGAGGGAAAGGGGCAGAGAAAATATTTTAAAGAACAGGAACCGAACACGCCCCCCCCCCCCAGTTTATGAAAGCTGGTAAAGGGGCCTGGGTGGCGCACCGCTCAGCCCGCCGCCTGAGTGAAAACGGACCCCACACTTGGCCCCCGGCCCCGGTGGGCTCGCATCCACTGCTCAGAGGGGGGGACCCCGTCGGCTTCGCTCGCTCTCCCCCACTCCCCCCGCCCCCGTCCTGCCACCAAACTCGTGGAGACGAGACTGCCGGCTGCTCGGGAGGAGGGGCCAGAGGGCCCTGAGCCAAGGCCAGGGGACGAGGGACACGGAGCGAGCCGGCCGTTTGACGTGAGGGGCGGAGGGGGCATCCTCCCGGAAGACCCCAGACTGTCCAGCCCAGACCAGAGAGCGGCAGGCCGATCTCGGGGGAAAGGACCCGCCGAGGAAAGCGTGAAACCCAGCAGACGTGCGCCCCGTGGGGAGGTCCGCAGCCCACGTCCCTGCTGCGCCCCTGGTCCCCTCTCTGCAGGGCTCTGCCGCAGGGGGCCAGAGGGGTGGCGTCACGGCGGTGCGGCCTGGAGGTGCGGGACAGACCGTGCGAAGCCGAGAAACCTCCCCGTCTCCTCAGTGGAGCAAGTCCCCGTCTGGTTCTTGCATTCCAAACCGAAATAAAAGGTCTCGCTGAAACACCTGTCACTGCCCCTGCAGGGTGTAAGTGTAGACAGTTCACGTCTTTCACCACAAAGCCACCCCGCAGTGACGGCTGTGGGGGGGGGGGCGTGCATGACGACCCAGGAATACCCGGTTCCGCCGTGAGATTCCAGAGTGGGGACACCCCGGTGGCCATTCCCGCCAAGCTAATTCAGCCACGTGACGGGCGAGAAGTACGTTAACTCAAAACACCGCAAATGGGCAACGCTTGATCAGAAAGAGCCTCGAGGATTTGCTGTTGTGCTGTGCTCACGGGTTTTTGCCGAGGGATCACCAATGAGAAGTGAGGAAATGAGAAAGGCAAATTCCACGCGATAAAGGCCATGAGCAGCGGGGGCTGGCGGGGTGCCGTGACCGGTTCTGGCCCAGGCGACAGCCGTTGGGTCGGTGGAGCGCCTGTGTGTGGGGAGTGCAGTGCCAGGAGGAGCAGCCGGACACCCGGAGAGCCGGTGTTCCAAGAAGGGACTGGGTGCAGAGGACGAGGAAGGAAACAACTTGGCCACTCGAGGAACAGAGAGGCTCTGGCCCAGAGTGTCCCGAGTGCAGACGGGGTGAGGGGCAAAGACAGACGGGGAGGGCAGTGCCAGGCGACGGGAGGGCGCGCCAGGGAGTGCGGGCTCTCTTGCAGCGGCGAGGGGAGCCACGGAAGGTCGTTGGCCGGGAGAGAGCACACCTGACCTAACTGAAGAAGGCCCTTCAGCCGGGATGGGCACTGGGAGAGAGGGGGGCGGATTAGGGTCAGGAAGGACGAAGATGGGATGCAAGGAAGCCCTGGCCCCCTGGTGGAGCGGCCTCCCAGCAAAGGACAGGTTAACACTGTCGGCACGCCACCTTGTTCTAGCCACAGCCAAGGCTGGTCGCCGCATGGTGCCCACCTGCTCATCGTGGGGGTCGGCACCCCCCTGGTGCGCAGGGCGGACTTCCCCCGGGCGGCCGGGGCGTCGGCGTTCTCCGAGCCCCCGTTCAGATACGTCAGTTCCTGGAGCTGGGCTTGCCGGATTTCGTCGTTGTAGTCCTGCGCGGGAGACAGAAGCAGGCGCGTCCGCCCCGTGAGAAACGCCGAAGCATTTGGAACAGAAAGCAATTTTGTAATAGAGAATGGGCGGGGGGGGGGCGGGTAGGAAAACAGGTGAATTCGTAAAGCAAGATGTGAGTTCGTCAAAATGAAAACATATCAATACATTGTAAAAAGGAAAACACAAAAAAAACATGGTCTTTCCCCCCAAACTAAAATGTTCTACAATGAGCCGTAACTCTTTCCCCCAGGCACTGTAACGAAATTAAAATGCCACGTGACACGTATCGGCGTTGCTGTTTACCACCCACCCAGCCCTCACGGAGTGTCCGTGGGGCACGAGCACCAGAAAACAGACGGGGGCGAGCCACGTCCCGGCACATTTCCGGTGCGTTTCCACGTGCCTAGTGCACCAGTGGCAAAAGTCAGCATCCCCAGAATTGACCGCATCGCCGTACACCTGCAAACGTGCTCTTCCGCATGTGGAGCTGGGGGGAGCAGGGGTGCTGATGTGACGACAGGGGAAGTGCACGCAGCCTGCGTTTGAACAGAAGACTCAGAAGAGACGGTTCCCTGGACCGCTCAGAATGGAAACCACGAAACCTGTTTCATGGATGTATTTTAAAAACACCCGGTCTCTTCGTTACTTTTCAAAAGCAGAAGGTGACACTGACGTGAAGTGGGTAGTAGAAGCTGTTGTGGAGTATGGGGAAAAAAAAAAAAAGAAAAGAAAAACCAACCACGAACCTGGATGGAACGCGAGGTGGAGACAGCAGCCAGAAACACCCACAGGGAGGCCGGGCGGGATAACACGGCCCAGGGGGCCCCGTCGCCCCGATCGGCGGGATGGGCGGGGATTCGGGGTCTCGGTTTTACTGTAAATACAGACTCTTCCCCTAACTTATTTGGAGTGTCCTGACCTCAGAAGAGTCACTGGAATCCACTGGTGTTTCCACCTCTCTACAGCAAACGTATCAGTGTTCCTACCGTCTCACTGCACATGCGTAAGGATGAATGAGGTGTCTGTAAAGCACATTCTGCATAAAACGTGCTACCTCAATGCTAACTCTCCGCCCTGTTGAAAGTGTGAGGGGTCGGGGGGGCGGGTGACATGAAGTTGTATGGGGGTCAAGTCAGCCCCACAGGGGGGAAGTCCGCCGAGGCCCCACGCAAACAGTCGTGGGGGCGGGGGGGGGGGGGCGCAGAACTCCGAGTCTGCCTCACAGCCAAGGGCATCGGGGGGGTCATTCTGGCGTCCCAGAAAGGGGTAAGACTCGGGCTCCCACAACACGGACAAGTGACCGCTCTTCCACCCTCTCGGTCACGTGACCTTAGTGATATGAATTAACCTCAGAAGTCTGTGGTCTCATCTGTAAAGAAGGAACACCACCAAGTGATTCACGGGACGGCGTGAGGGCTGCCTGCCGTGGCCGTGACCAGCGAGGGGCTCTTCCGAGGTCAAGTGCTCTGCCAACACCGGGGACCGATCAGGGTCCCCAAGGGTTCAAGTAGAAGCAGGGCGTGCAGGCCACTCACGGGAATGAGGAACTTCTTGATCTCTTCCAGCGCGTGCCCCATGCGGGCGTAGGCCTCGGCCGGCGGGGCGAAGACCTCGATGAGCACGTGCAGGTCGTCGTGGAGGTGGAAGTACTTGGCCTCCCCACTCTTCCTCAGCTCTTCTTCCTGAAGGGAGACAGGGCGTGCAGAACGGGGGGTCGTCGTCAGGAGGAGGAAGGAGGGAAACAAGGAAAACCGCCCAGAGCGTGTTCGGCACGGGGCTGTCGCAAGGAGCCACTCAAGAGCAAGCGCCACCTAAGGAAGAAAGTCTAGAATACACATCTGGCCCTGCCACTCACAGGCCTTTCTGGAAACTCGGAGGCCGCCTGCTGCAGGCTCCACTGCTGTCTCCAGCCACCTGCCCTCTCTCTGCCCCGTGCTCGGCTCCCTCGCACCCTCGAGTCCCCCTCCAGGGGCGGCCGGACTCCCTGTGTGGTTCTCCAACGGCCCAGCAACGCAGCTCACTTCTGCCTGGGGACCCTGTGTGCTGTGCCGTGCGCCGTTACCAAGCATTCACCAGTATCTGAGGCGTCAAAGGGGCCTCGCTGGTGACTTGCCTGTTTCCTAATTTCTCCCGCCAAAGGTTTCGGGGTACAGCTGGGCTTGGGGTGAAGGTTGGGGTTAGGGTCTCGCTTAGTACTACACTCCCCCTATCGAGGAAAGTGCTTGGCATAAAGCAGACGCTCAGCAAGTTTTTATGAGTGAATGGCCGATTACTCATTCACACCTACGTCCACTGGCTTCTGTACACATGGTTCACAGAGCACTTCCACATGCCGGGCACTAGGCTCTGTCTGGGGGTAGAAGACGGAATAAGGTACATGACAGGCTTTATTACATGATTGTACGTAATTATGATCAAACCTTTTCTAATTTGTTTGTGGTTCACAATGAAATTCAGGGGGAAACTCGGAGAGGAAAAACACAGATAATTAAGGGACTAGTCATTTCGCTCCATTATCTTCTGCTAACTAGCCTTCATTCGAGTGGCAACTGCAGAATCTGAGTTTTCCAGACGTCTGTCTCCAACATGAAAATCAGACACACAGAAACACTGCTGGGAACCTACATCTGAAGCCCTCCCAACCTCCCCAAAAAGCCTGTCCCGGCAGAGGGAGAACCCCCGGTCCCTGACACCACCGCCCGCAGTCCCGCCGCCAGTCCCCAGGCCTCGCAAGCACACACACTCCGGACCCCACCTTTCATTACGGGACTGGTCTGGATTCTTGCAAAGGAGAAGGGCCAACAGGAGTAGGGCCTGGGACTCAGAGTCAGATACCCCCGAATGGCAGGGACGCTGGTCACTAGGTGTGTGAGCTAGACCGTTTACATGTAATCCAGCACTTAATGTGCGAAAGCAGCTTGGTGCTAACACATGTGTATCACTGGAGGGCCACGAGAAGGCCAAGGGGTCGGCTTCCAGTGACTGCCCCACAAAGGGGACAGGGCTGTGCGGCCCAGCACCTCACCGGACACGCGGCAGGCACCCAGCCTGGGCTGGCTGCCGGCACAGTCAGGGGAAGAGGGGCAGAAACCCACAGAACACAAGGAAAACATCTGAAGTAAGAGAGAGCAAATGTAAGCTACCATTAATGCCCTGTGCTGTTTCCTCGCCGCTTGTCTCGAGTACAAAGGGCACTACTCTTTCCCGCCAACCACAGACTGTCCGTTGTTCTAATCGGGACCTTTTTAATCGTTTGGTCTGGCCCTCGGCCTTTTACAGCTGAAGCCTCAAAGCCTGGAGACCATGCACCGCGTCGTCTTAGAGAGCACGAACCACCACCGGAACGAGCCCTTCTGACCCTCGAATGCGTGCCAAAGTAGCCACCCTAACGCGATGACGCGTGTCGGTCCACAGTCCAGCACGTTCCTCTCCATCGCAGACTCGGGCTGGAATGGGGGAGCTTCTCGCCGTCTCCCCAGGGTCTCCCAGGTCCACAGAGCGGGCCGTCATTCCCGGACTCGGTCGGGGCTCATGAGGGGAGACCACGCAGCGTTTGGGGAAGGACCAGACGCCAAAGATCTGCATTCAAACCCCACATTTGAATCCCACATCCGACACACACCGCTTAACTGTGGGCAGGGGGGTCACTTTATCCCATCTACGAGGGCTGGCTTCAGGTGGCGGGGACAGCACAGCACCCACTGCCGCCCACGGGGCGGCTGTGGCAATAGAGGAGTCGTCACATCAGTGATTGGGAGCGCGCAGTAGCACAGGAACGGGAGTGATAGAGGGGTTTTGTGTCTGAAGACAGAAAGTCTTTAGATTTTGGTCTGACACGGAATAAACAGTAAATCCAGGAATAATTATCCTTATAATAATGATAATTCCTATTACGCAGCTACAGTATTAATTATTCTATTATTCTACGATGCCGATGATGCGGGCACGACACCGGGTGTGAGGCTCCGCACGGAGGGAGGCCCCACGGCGTCACCGCGGCGATTCCCCTCGGAACCACCCGTGCATGTGGGTGACGACTCCCGCACCTCCATCAGCGTCGCAAACAGAGGAGATGCACGAGGTTCATCTTCTCCTGGAAATCTGAAAGAGGAAGATTTCAACAGGAGGGAAAGGGATCTCTTTTGAGACAGACACAGCGTCAACCGAGGACGCCTGCAGACCGAAAGCGAGCTGGTGAAAAGGGTCACGGGAAACCCGTGTCCGGGCTCTGGCGGTGAGGCTCCGATGGCAGAGGGCACTGCGGGCCGGGCACCAGAAGTGCCCACTGACGGCCACCGCCTGGAGCGGGGCTTGTGGGGGCAGCAGACTGCCAACCCACAACGCACGCTCTGTCCTCAGCTTCCGGCGGTCTGGAGGGGAGGCAGATGCCCCGCCGCCTGCAGGACGTCCACACGGACTCGCTGAGTGACGCCGTCAAGGGCACGGACACGGAGGCGTTAACGAGGGGGTGAGACGTGGGCTGGGGGAGAGCCTGAGGGTGGGAGAGCAGAGAGGCCCGTGCAGTGCGAGCTGGCACTCAGTGAGCAGGAGGTTGGGGGGGCCAGCTCTAGCAGACGCCGAAGCACCTCATGCCCCAGCCACCGCTGGGCGACTCCAGGGGCTCCTCAGGAAAGTGCTCCTGGGGACAGTGGGAGAGGTCACGCATTGACACACGACAGGCTGCACTCCAAAGGAGGGCTGGCCACGGCCACTGCTGAGTGCCCGGTAGGCCAACAGCAGGGGACTGCCACCAGCCCCCGAAGTGACGACAGGCTGTGGAGGGACCACCCAAAGCCCCGACCGTGGGCAGGCCGATGACGTTCCCGCTCACTACACGGACGCCGGGCACCGGCTATCACGTGGGCACACAGTCCAGGGAAAGACGCGTCTCCCGGCCCCTTCTAGCTGGAATACCCTCTGGGAGGAGCGCCCTGCGCCCAGATCACTCCACGGAATGCCACCAAATGTCACTCTGTCACCAAGAAACTCCAATACCGGCAAACTCAGCAGCACAGTGTCGATGGGCTCTGCTGGCCTTATCAGGCACCTCATTACCAGGCGGCCTTATTAACAGACCTCATTAACATATCAGCAAGGGTGGGGTGCTTTCCTCCAAGACACAGGTAATTTCCGACCCACTGGCCGACATAAGTTTCATTTTCTCCTCCAACCAGGTCAGATGGGTCAGGGAACCAGTCACATCACTCTAGACAGCAATGCTTGCTAGGCAGTTAAACTGGCCTGGCTGTGGGTTGGAATTATTTCAAACACCTACTGAAAATTCACGTTAGGGCCCCACCCTAAATGGGCTGGGGGCCTGGGGATCTCTATTGTTAAATGGCAGCCCCTGTGAGTCACGTGCATAACCAGGTTTTGATCAAATGACAGAATGGACCTCCCTGATTAACCAGATGATATCCTCAGACTCCCCGGCTTTCCGTCCTCATACATGTAAAATTTAAAAACAAAATCATGTTCATCGCCCACGATTTCCCCAGGGATAACATGGAACACATGTGAAGTGTCACATGTGGCCTGAGTCACGGTGGCTGTTCAATAAACCACTGGTGGCGGTCTTCACGTGAAAGCCGCTATTTTAGATGGACTTTCCCGTGAGGAGGCAGGGTTTTGCTGCTTAAATAACCTGCTGGTCTGACACGCCCTTCCTCAGCATGTCACCGTAAGTCACCACTAAACACAGATCTGGTTCTCGGTAAAATAAACCCTGAAACGATGACAGATCAGCCAAGTGACAACAGAGAACAACGGGAGTGACGACACATTATGAGATGTGAACATTTCTTTCAACATCGGTACCTTTGAGAAACTGAGCAATGAAAACAATAGTCATTTTAGCGTATTAAGAAGGGGGGCCCATCACAACGAGATGTCACCGCACACCTGTCAGCATGGCCGTCACCAATAAATCAGCGAACAAGTGCCAGCAAGGACGTGGAGACCTTAGGGGGACTCTCTTGCACTGCTGGTGGGAGTGCAGCCTGGGGCAGCCGCTGTGCAAACAGTGTCGAGTTCCCTCAAAAATGTAAAAACGGAAGTGCCTTAGCACCCAGCGATTCCACTTCCGGGAATTCATCTGGAGGGACCCGGAACACAGATTGCAAAGGATACACGCACCCCTGTGTTCACTGCAGCATCACTTACGATCACCAAGATCTGGAAGCAGCCCAAGTGCCCACCAGCAGCCGAGGGGGGAAAACAGCTGCGGTACATTTACACGATGGAATACTGCTCAGCCATTAAAAAAGGAAGGAAATCTTACCTTTCGTGACAGCATGGATTAACCTGGAGAATATTACGCTAAGTGAAATAAGCCAGTCAGGGAAAGACAAATACCCTATGATTTCACTTGTATGTGGAATCCAATGAATAAAATAAACTAACACACAGAACAGAAACAGACTCATAGACACAGAGAACAGACCGACAGTTGTCAGAGGGGAGGGGGTTGGGAGGTTGGGTGAAAAGGTGAAGGGATTAAGCAAAACAGAAAAACCTCATTAGCACAGAAACAGTGTGCTGGTTACCAGAGGGGAAGGGGGCTGGGGAGGCAGGAGAGGGCAGAGCGGGATAAACAGTGACGGAAGGAGACCTGACTCGGGTCGTGAACACACAACACAACACACAGATGATGCGTTATGGGACCGTACCCCGAAACCCACATAATTGTATTAACCAACGCCACCCCAATAAATTCAATTAAAAGTAAATTAACCTTGGAATTCTTTAAACAAAGAGGCAGTGAATGTGAATACATCCAAGTAAAATAACTACATGTAAGCAATTATTAAAACTTTTAAAATCAATTCAAACTTGGTAAAACACACAGGATACCAAACGAAGGGGAAAAGAGCAAATAAAAGTGTACACTTTGTAGAAAAGACCTGAAGAGCTACTCTAAAACCCAGAGATGCTGAGGCTACAGATAACTCTTGCTTCTCCTCGTTGTGATGTCTGTAGCACTGCACTTTCTGCAAGGTAACGCAAGGCTTCTAGAATCAAAATCGTAGGTACTACAGTACTATTTCACAAAAGAATATAAAAGTTATGTGCAAGTTTAAGATATGACATGTTCTGAATTGGCCAGTGTGACTCAGTTTGCTACCCAGTATTATAAATAAGTATATCACCTTATATAACATTTTCCTGTACCTTCCTTTGAGACGCTAGCTGGCTTCTATGCAACATGCATTAACAAAATGGGTGATCTCAAAGCACATTATACGATGGCTAAGACGGTAGCCGCCGTCTCCGATGAATATTACCTTTGCCTTGTCTCTCATGGAGCCTTTTCCAAGGATGGACATTTTTGTCAAGGTTTCCTCTTGAAGACGCTTCAGGGAGTTGCCACGGGGACCCAACAGTTTGCCCACGAAGTTGAACTAGGAAAGACAAACCAGTCAAACCTGTAACATTCGCAGTGGAAACACATGTCCTACTCTTGAACACCAGGAACCACGGGAGAACGCAACGCATCATGGGTCAGTGACTAACCGTCCGCTCCCTGCTCCCCGAACCGCACAGTTCCCGCAGACCACATGCAACAGGGCTCACGGCTGTGCAACGTCTAAAACAGGAAAGACACACGTCCCTACGCCCATCGCTCCCACGCTGGCTGCAGTTCGCACATGGAAAATGCAGTTTCCTCCCTCGACCACGTCCGCATGCGTCCAGTATCTGCGTGAACAGCAAGCGCCAGGGCTGGCGTACAGGGGAGGAAAGCGGCTGCCAGGTGCCATGCAAGGTCCCCGACGGTCCCTGGAGAGTGTCTGGCCCTTCTTCCCGGCCAGCACTTGGCCATGGCTGGTCACCCAGTGGGTGCACTGCTCTCGACGCTCTTCCACACCCAGTGGCTCACAAACGCTTTACCAGCCCTGGCTGGCGTAGCTCAGTGGATTGAGTGTGGGCTGCAAACCACAGCATCGCAGGTTCGATTCCCAGTCAGGGTACATGCCTGGGTTGCAGGCCACGGCCCCCAGCAACTGCACATTGATGTTTCTCTCTCTCTCTCTCTTTCTCCCTCTCTTCCCTCTCTAAAAATAAATAAATAAAATCTTAAAAAAATTACTTTAAAGTATGTTTGTTGAGATTTATGTAAGATCTAGTTATGTTGTAATAGGAGGGCATTCTGTAGTATATAGACCCCTATAATGGTGGACTCAGTGCCCACTGATTCCTTACGAGTGGACTGAATTTGTGTTGTGTGTGTGTGCGCAAGTGTGTGCACATGCATTCCCTGAATCACACAAACACACATCCAGTCCCTTCCCTGGCACGGTCCCTCCTGCTCACTGCGGTGCACACGCCCACAAGTGTTCTCACAGCGTCTTCCCTGATTGTCACACACACACGGCTTCATGTTCCTTTTATGTTCTTTCTTTTTCTTGAAATGCAGTTTACGATTTCATAGACAAAATCCAACCCTGGGACCAATCTCACACCTGCTGAAAATCACTCCCCCACGTCCACTGCGGGCCCTTCTTGCTCTCATGGCCCCACCCCCCGCCCCGCCCCGCACTCTAAAGCCTCGGCCCGCAGCCCACAGGCACAAAGGCTGCATCCCGTCCGCACGGCCCCACCCGACCCGACCCGGGGTTAGAACTCCGGGGACTGCGCAGCCCCAAGCTTTAACTCGCTCTTGAACGCCACGGGCTCCCCTTCCCCCTAATTAAGTCATTCTAGCCCAGTGACTACTCCCCCGCCCCCGCCCTATCTCTGCTTACTCACAGCCTGGGCTGGCTGGCAAGGACTAAATGTAATTCCACCTGCGATTCCTTCTCCAGCAAAGACTCCCGCTCACACCCTTACCTGGGCACGGAGCCCCTCCGCCCCTCTCGTGCTAGTCCCATTCCTGCCCGGCATGGCTCGGTGAAGTTGGCCGCCCCTCCAGCCGGAGCGCGAACCCCGGGGGAGTGATCAGGGCCCCGGTTCCGAGTCATCACTTCTCCTGCGTAAGGGCTTCTCCATAAGCACTCGTGGAATGAGAGTGCATTTTACCCCAAACCAAACGGCACTCGTCAACCCCGTTTTTATTGATTTTCTCTGCTGCAGAAATTATTGCAACATATTAGACTATAGATTTTTTTAAAAATCTATTATTTAAATTTATTAAGTTTCCAATCACAAAGCTCTAAGTATTCCTGGTAGCGGTAGGGGATTACTTGGTATTGCTCCATCGACTGGAATGTAACACAGTGTCTCCGTTTAAATGGTGAGCAGCCCAATTTACGGAGAAAGTCACAACTCCAAAGGGCAGTGAGGTGTAGCATAACTTCTCCAGCGGGTGAGACGGGGGAAAGAAATACACACAGAGGCACACTCGGTCAGCAATGTGAAATAATCCACCTCCCGTACGTGCGATCTCTGTCTGCCCAAGGCTGGGTTATCCTCTTGCGGGGTGGGGAGGGGTGGATGGCAAAAAAAAAGAGAGAGAGAGAGAGAGAAGGGAGGGAGGGAGGGAAGGAAAGGGAAGGAAAGGGAAGGAAAAAAAGAAAAGAAAAGACAAGCAATGCAGCCCCTGTATAAGTGAGTTTGAAACGGTTAACCCAGAAAAGCCCGGACTGCAGCCGCCCAGCTGCGGGGTGGGGGACAGAAGGGAGGACCCGGAACAGGAGGCGGGAGACAGCCCCCAATGAGGCTACTCCGGCAGACTGGGGGAGGGAGGCCATGGAGTGCAGAGAGAGGGAGACAGATGATAATGTGGGCACAGAAATAACAAAATGTGTAAGTCCCAGTGTCCGAAGGATGGAGGGGAGGGGGCACACGGAGGAGCAGCTAGTAAACAACGTTGACGCACTGGTTTCCAGCGCGGGCACTGGGCCGCACGTGCTGTCTGCCACTCATGCAAATAAAGGCACGGGAGGGGGCTGCCACGGCAAAGAGGCACGAATCCACCGGGGACACGTCAAAACCCAGCTGTCCAGGGCCTTCCAAGTGGCGTCCTCCAGCAGGCAGGGCCAGGCAGGTCTCAGGTAGGGGGTCCCTCCCCCCTCGGTCACGATGCTTCTCAGGGCCGATGAGACCCTTGTTTTATGTTGATTACGTGTCAATTACTTGTTTGGACAGAAGCTCACAGGGGGGTCCGTGGGCGTCAGGCCAGCGGGCTGGGAGTCCCAGGAGAGGGGCGTTAAGTGTCGTCCACACTTCCCTGCCTGACATCAGGACAGCCTTCTGTGGATCCACCTTGGTGGTCCTCACGGGGCCCAGAGAAGCCGAAACCATCAGCCCGGTGACACTGCAAGGGAGCTAAGCCGGTAATATGTGACAAGGCACTAAAAACGTCTCTACCTCTGGGCTTAGCGACACAGTTAAGAGATCCATCTTCCATGACCCCTCAGACAGGAAGCAGCGAAGTCATCCAAGATACATATGTAACAATATTCATCGCACACCGTGTTTCCAAATTTACTGCTTTGCGGCCACAGGACATATAAATAAAACAGAAGCAGTAATAATAATAACAACCGCCCAAGACAACAGGAGTCAATTCTTTCAGGAACCCCTCCGCACTGGTCTGTCTGCTTTTGGAGCCTACTTAATAAATCTGAGTTCAACAAGTGCTACCTGGTGGGCCAACACCGTGCATGTGAGAAAGAAGGGAAAGGCACTGCAGAAGATGTGAAACACCCCACGGCACTTTCGCACGCGGTCACATTTGCACACGCCGACTTCAGTGCCTGTCACAGCCCCGGGATGGGGCCCCAGGACCCCGAGAGCCCAGAGGAGGCCTCTGAGGACAGAACAAAGGAGGCTTCCAAAGGTGTGTTCCTGTCCTCCCCACCTGTCACCTCACTGCCCTCCAGGTCCCATCCTAAGTGACAGGAGAGGAGGGGCACAGGGGGGTCCCTGCTGGGAACCGTGGCCTGGGGCCATAACGGTCTCCTAAGGTCCTGTCACCCTGAGTGGCCCTCCTACTTCGTCACGGGGTCCCCGAGTTCACGGGTACCAGGAGGGGCACCCACAGTGACTTTAATTAGAAACCCAGGTAGCTTTAAGTGATTGTTTTTCATATCAACATCCTTACTGGCTGGTCATACTAACTTCAGTAATGGCACTTACATAAAAAACTAACACAGAGCCCTGGCCGGTGTAGCTCAGTGGATTGAGCATGGGCTGCGAACCAAAGTGTCCCAGGTTCGATTCCCAGTCAGGGCACATGCCTGGGTTGCAGGGCCATAACCCCCAGCAACCGCACATTGATGTTTCTCTCTCTCTCTCTCTCTCTTTCTCCCTCCCTTCCCTTTCCCTCTCTAAAAATAAATAAAATAAAATCTTTAAAAATAAAAAAATTAAAAAAAAAAGAAATGCCCTTGCTATATATATATTAAAAAAAACACACAGGACACCAGCATACTGTAATCTACTAAATACATCAACCACCAATCGAACACCAAAAACACAAATTATCTGCACATAACTCCTCTGCGGAAAACAGGACAAGCCTCTGGAGGTCAATTAGGAATCACGGCAAAGTTACATGCTGACAGGACCGTCACATAGTTACCACTCGAGGAAATGTTTAAACCCACGGCGACTTCTACGGAACAGGCTGTGACCCAGCAGGAAGTCCGCGGGCTTTCAGGCTGCAACGCGCTGCGAGGGGAGAAGCCGGCCGGCTTTGGAGGGGAACGTCTCCCTGCGCTCTGATTCAAATTCCAGGCAGGGACACCTTTTCCGAGCGCTCCTCTCTCAAAGACCCTCAACCCGAGAGCTTGTGTGAGCCGGCAAATACGTGAAATTGAAAAAGCCCACAGAACACTCCAAGTAACAACCCACGTCCATCACCATGAAGTGAATAAACAGTACGCACGAGTTAGAATGCTTAGGGATGGAAACAACGGCCAAATTAAGAAACGTAATCAATCTAACTTAAACCTATAGGCTTTAACTCGGTACAAGCAACTCTTAAAAAACACAACCACGGCACAAAAGTGCCTCCTACATGAACTGTCTGCAGGGCCTATGTCCCCCCAAAGGGAAATCTTTTCCTCCAAATGAGACACGTGGTACCACGTTCCGGTTAAAACGTTAAAGCACAGGAGCTTGTGATGTGGGACAACTCACAGAACCCCGCCCCGCAGAAAGTAGCTGCTGTCACTCCCGTTTTTCTGAACTGTCTGTCTACGCCGTGGATGTTCTGATTTAACACGGCAGGACACACGTGTTGTTCCCACAGTGCGTGTGTGCAGCCAGAGCGTGCGTGTGTAACGACGACACAGAGCTCTAACTCACTTCCCTTCGCACCCCAGCTCAGGCTGGGGCGGCGCACCAGCGCTGCTGCCCCCGGCGTGCGTCCGCCCTTGGCCTCCCCTCTCCTGAAACCACACCCTGACGTGAAGCACCCGGAGAAGCCACCTGCCCCATCCTCTACCACAGCGCATGT